AGACTTCTGCACCCGGTGGCACAGGCCTTTGTGACCGCCCCTAGTCTCGCAGTTGGAGAGAATGGGAAACCATGACTTGGCGATCCAGAGCTAAAGAAATAGAAAGGCGCAAGGCATTGAGTACTAGAGTTGGGGAAATAAGACGGAGAAAATGGATAGAGGGGAAAGAAAAGAGAAAGGAAGAGAGTTAAAAGCAGAGCCCTTTTCCAGCAAGCCTTGCCTCCTCTGTCCTTGAGCCGCCACCTCTCTGGGGCCTGTTCCGCAGTAAACGTCTTTCGTGGAAGGCTACCCTGCGGCTTTTGAGTCTAACCACGGCGACTAGAGCCTCTGGGATTTTGGCAGAACCCCGGGTGCGAGCGCAATGACCGGACACCTGCCCACAGAGGGCTTGGGAGGTGCCTCGGGACAGTCGTCACGAAGCTTCCTCTCTATCCAGAAGGGACAGGAATTCTGCACTCCCCAGCCGGCACTCCGTGGGGTTCAGACCTCTTCTGACCGGGGCATGGTCTCCCAGGTTCTGCCTTCGCTGCCTAGTGGAGTCGATTTGAACTGCTCCTCTCCCAGCAGCTGCGGCCCACGCCACACAAGCCAAGGAGTCGCAGGGTCAGCGACCGCTGTGTCTCAGTCTTGGCAGTGACCTGGTTCTTACCTCTACTCTAGGATCCGAGGTTGCACCGGAAGCCGCCAAGGGCAGTCCTGGGTGTGAAACGAGACAGGACCAGAGAAGGATGGCCAGGGACCTTGATCGCCGAGAACCATTTCCTCGGAGAGTCCTCTGGACGTATCCTAACTTAAATTTCCAGAGGAAATCACACATTCTTAAACAACAAACCGTACAAAAAAAAAGGAACCAATTTCAAAGGTCGAATCGAAAAAATTCAAAACGAAAGTCCACACGGATATCGAACTAGCCACAACGAAAAACAGTGACTGAGCCGGGCTTTCCAACAAAAAAGCAATTTTGATGTAATCTGTGAGTGTGGGAACCGCGTAATTTTATATTCCCGACGGTTTTGTGTATTGAAGGCAAACCTCTCTAGCAAAACACAGGGCACCCACGATAGCCTGCCCAGACCTCGCGTTGCCCTCTAGGTTCAGGCGACTTCTGTCCAGCGCTGCCTATCTGAGGCTGAAGCCACCTCCCTACCGAAGGCCACCGCCACTGCCACCGCGGCAAACCTGCCTGAAGTCAAGAGGCAGACTTAGAGCAAGAAAACGCTGGAGGAACAAATCCCATTTGGGGGCTCTGGGAGGGGGTGCTCCTGGAGAGAAAACTTACCCAGAACGCCACGGGAGCCCAGCGAACTTGGGGGGGGGGGGGTGCTCAGAGCTTGCTGTGCACTGGGGAAGGGAATCAGAATTCCGCCAGGTGGTTGTCAGTACCCAGAGGAGAGGTAACCATTTTAAGAAATCTTCCTTCCAGACACTCACGGTCCCAAATTCATCTTGCTGAGTAAGATACATATCGATTGCAAGTGGAAAAGGAAACAAAAAGAAACCTTCAAGGTCCAGGGAGGGTTGGAGGGGAGCCCCACTTAGAAGCTTCCTGATGATGCTGGTCGCGGACCTGGCCTAGGGCTGCTCTATCTGCCTTGGCGCACAGGGACTACTTCTCAAAAAGCTGTCTCCAGAATCCCGTCCCTCCTGGGGGCGCTTGGGAAAGAAACCGCAGCTGGAGATGGTGCAGATCGGACCCTCACACCCACGCTCTGGGGGTCGGCGTTTCATCCGGTGGCCCCTGTCTGTCTTCTACTCGCTAAAGGCCAGCTGAAGCTCCGGGGTGTTCCGGGCTCGCTAGTGGGAAAGGGGATAGGTTCCACTCAAGGGTACTCTCTTGGCGAGGAGGTTGCGTGGAGGACTCCCTGCCGCCTGGAGTGCCTATTACCAGGCCACCTGGTAGGGAAGCTGGCCTGGGGCGCTGAGGTCACCTTTTCCACTGTGTCTGTCTCTCCCAGAGCGGCCAGTTTCCGGAATTTTCGCCTAGGCGACGGCAGGCGGGAGGCCCTGGCGGGTCTCAGGCTTGAGTCTCAGCGGCTGCGCCTCTAGTGGGGATTTGCCTTCCTTTCGTGTCTTTCATGAAGAAGGGGGAACCCCATCCTTTGTGAACCCCTTTCCAGTCTGTCAATGCAGGATTTCTAAACAAAGGGTCCCTGACGCTCTTTCTTTGCATTTTTTCGCCTAAAAGGGGTTTATTCTCAGGTTTGTTTTAGGGTCCCTAGGACTTTGAGAAGAATGTAGTTCGAAAAGGTTGAGCCAAGGGCTCGAGCTGAAAGGGCATATCAGGGCATAGGCTGGCTTTCAGTCTTTGGTGCCAGGCAAAGCTTTTAGCCCTTGCGGCCTCATTCCCAGCAGGCACGAATCATTGCAGGCATTCGGCCCGGGCGGCTTGAAACAGCCCTGGCCAGGGTCCAGGGGGGGGGGACGGACGCAGGGGCGGGGGAGGGCACACCTGTGGAATGGAGAGGGGGTGAGTCTACATATGTCTCTTGACTCTCCACATCTAGAATTAAGGCCTTCATGCTGAAAATGAGGCCCCTCTGCTCAGCTCGACAATTGGCTAATGGCAATAAAAATAGATTTGGTGACTGGGGAATCTACCATATGAGTGGTCTTGGTGTCTCAGACCCCGGGTTCCAGGACCAGTCTCGACTTTGTGAAACTTGGCTAAAATTGGAGGAGGGTGCATTGGGTTCAGACACGGGTGAGTTCAGTCAAGTAAGAGAGGGTGACGCTGACTGCGACTAACCCCTATAGAAACCACTCCAGGCTATACTTCAAAGCGCAAGAGGAAGTGGAGGGGCCCGATGTTGATCCATCCAGGGATGGGCAGAGTGGAGGCAGTAGAGGCCGAAGGGCCTTGATTGGGGCACGACAGGGGACCAGCCATTTTACTCACTGGAGTGCCTGGACCAGTACTTGGACTCAGTAGTCTTGAGATAGGAAGTAGTTGGACTCCCCATCCAGAGAGGGTCGCCATCTGGAATTCCTGTGTCCGGAATAGACACTGACTTTCCTCTCTGTCCAGTGGGAAGTAAGATGACTATTGGGGCAACAGAAGCAGGCCCGTCTCTGAGAGGCCTGCTTAGGGGTACAGTAAGTCTTAGTGGGTCCCACATCGCCGTTTCTAAAATAGTTATTTTGGCTAGCTGATCATTCACTCTGGGAGTCCGAAGCAACTGGAAGCCACCAAAGCTACCTTCCTTCAGTCCTGAAGGTGGCTCAGAAAGTCACTAAACAATTGGCTGAGCTGTGACAAAGGGCTTTCAGGGCCTAGGTCTCACCAGAACATCTGGAAAGATGTTCCTTCCCATCTCTCAGTGTCTCAGATGCTATAGTCCAGGGCCTCAGAAGCCTCAGGTCAACAGGTGGAAGAAATGATTTCAACTTGGGAAGGAGTTGGGATGTGGGCGTGGTGAACTCAGTGTCCCAGAGGGGGTGACTTAGGCTCTGCTGAGAGCCTGTGCACTGGAAGTGGGAGTGGCCTAAACGTGCAGTTTGCCCCAGGAGGCACTGAGTGGCAAGGCTGGACACAAGGGTGACAGAACCCAAGTCGCTAGAGCTGGGCAGGAAGTGCAGCAACTCCTCTTCCAACTTCCTGGGGGACACCCTACCTTTCTCGTCACCCCTGAGCAGACCCGGTAGACCCCCACACCCTGCCCTGCCACCACAGCCACGCAGCCACGGCTACTGCACCTTCAGCCTCCACAAACTCCCTGGGGCCAAGTGTTGGTTTCTCCTCCAGGCAGGAGACAATTCAGAGAGTAGCAACGCCAAGATCCAAGGGTATAAACTCAACAGAGTTTAGCTTGGGGATTGGTGTGCTAAGGAAAAAGAGAAAGATCTAAAAGCCTCATTCTAAGTCCTGTGAATAGTGGCCCCGAGACTCTCAGAGCATCCCCATGAATCCCTGCCCCCCAAATCCATCCAGCAACAGGTTTTCCTTTTTTTATTACTCAAGCTAAGAACAGGTGAAGCGTTATCCTGTCTTTGTTCTAACTGAGTGACCATAACTCAGTCTGGTGGTTGCCAAGGAAAATGTGTCCAGGTACGCTTAGATTCGAAATTTAAGCAAATTCTAGTCGGGAAATCTTTTTTTTCTCTCAGGGTAGCATCCAGAGTTGATATCAGAAGGATAAACTGAGGTTTGTGGACAGGGAAGGGTGATGGTGCAGAGGTGTGGTCGCCACCTTGCGAATTACAGCTCTGTGTCCTGCTGCTCCTCACCCCTATAGCATCCCCCAGTCCTGGGAGGCTGCTTAGGGCTACGACTTTCCCGTTGAGCTGCAAGGCTTTTGCCCCTCCTCCCCCTGATCTCTCCAGTCCCTCCCCATCCCACCCAGTCCCTGGCCTTGCTGTTCCCTCCCTTTGCCCTCCCGCTTCTCGGGCTCTCGCTCCTCTCTACAACTCAGCGCACTCACGTAGAGGAGGCGTCTTGGACACCTTCACATCACTGAGTGGTACCCTGCGCGTTCCTCGCTGTCTGTCTCTTGACTCCTTCTCACCTCTCACTCGTGATCCCTGATTTGCCCATCTCCGCAGGGTCCTGTCCACAGGGCTGTCCTCTTGGGCGTGCGCTCTGCTCTTGCTCCCTTGGTGCCGGCCTGCCAGCCCCTATCCCGGAGCTCTTTCCCTCCAATCCCTCCTCCAACCTCCTTTCCCCCCTCCTGGGTCCCTCCCTCCGGCTCTGCCTAGGGGGTGGGGGGCGGCGGCGCGGGGCGGGGCGGGGCAGGGCGGGCGGGGCGAGGCGGTGACGCGGGGGCTGGCCGGGCTAGAGGCGCGGCGGCGCGGGGCGGGGGCGCAGTCCCGGGTCCGACTGGCCGAGCCCCGTGCGCCCCGCCCGCGCCCTGCGCCTCCGCCCGGCCAGCCGGCGGGGGAGGGGGCATGAGCCGGCGCCCGCGCGCCGCCGGGAGCTGCGGGCCGGCCTAGAGCCCCGCGCGGGCCCCGCGCCCGAGCCTAGCCACCGTCGCTACCGAGCCGCGGGCGCATCCGCGGGAGCCGCGATGCAGCGGCCCGGGGAACCGGGCGCCGTGCGCTTCGGTCCGCCCGAGGGCTGTGCTGATCATCGGTCGCACCGCTACCGCAGCTTCATGATCGAAGAGATCCTCACCGAGCCGCCCGGGCCCAAAGGCGCAGCGCCTGCGGCTGCAGCAGCTGCCGCGGGCGAGCTGCTAAAGTTTGGCGTGCAGGCGCTCCTGGCCGCGCGGCCCTTTCACAGCCACTTGGGTACGTGCAGCGGACTGGGATTGACGGGAGGGTGGGAGTCAAGTCACGGGGCAGCCCAGAATTTATCCTCCTTCTCCACTCTCTTCCTGGAGCGACCTGGGATGCAGGCCCCAGGAACGTCTCTTCACAAGCTCCAACTGAGAAGTAGAGGGTGCAGGCAATGGGCTGCGCAGAAACCAGGCCTATGTCCGCAGACCAGGTCAGAAGAGTTTGTCCTCTGCTTCAGGGCGGCTTCGGCTTTTCCAATCGGGTGATAAACCAGGTCCAGGGACTAGAGCCCGCATCCCCTTCAGACAGTCAACCGATCGATCGCTCTGGATCAAAATGACTTCAGTCCAGGGAAGCCTGAGTTTCTCGTTTCTCGGCAGAGAGCTGTTTGGGCATGGCAGTAGCTGCCCAGACTGGAAAAGCTGGGACCTCTGAAAAAGAAGGTCCTGTTCCCCAATGCTGGGTGCTAATCGTTGTCCATGCCACCAAGGAGCCCCCCAGAGCCCTCTGCTCTCCAGTTAGCGACAAACCGAGGCCTCTCTTGCAGACATGATCTCCTTAGGCCTGGTCTGAGGCCTGTTTGTGAGCCATGGCCCGGCTGGCCGGTCCACTTCCAGGTCAGCGTCTTGAATCACTGCTCAGACCTTTTCTGGCTTGGTCTTGTCTCTTGGGGGATTGTGGGGCAGCCTGCCCTGTTCTGCAGGCCTTTTCCATCCTGGCAATAGGGCTTGTACAAACTCTCTTTGGTTGACCTCCATCCTTGTCTTTCGGTGGAGTCGCCCTGTTTCCCCTCTACCGGCTTTCTCCTAAGATTGTCTTCCCACTCCTTACTGGGAATGCTTGCCTCACCCCGATGGGTCCCTTGCTTTGACCCACTTCTTTATGAGAAGCCTATCGGGAAAGAAAGCCTCCTGCATAGACTCCAGCTCGGCCAGCGGCCTTCGGGATCAGTATCAGCCCCGGTTCTGTCCTGGTGGCAGTTGATCCAGTTTGCCTGTTTGAGGTTCATCGGGTTCACAGCCTCTTTACTGCCTTTCACGATCAACGTTTCTATTGTTGGTAATTCGTTTGAAGCGGGCAAACAGCTAGTTTAGAACTAGAGAACATGGAGGCACCCTCTCAGGGAAAAGCCTGAGCAGAGAAAACAAGAAAGACAGTTTTCGGGTTCAAAGGATGCTTTGGCGACCCTTCCTTAGTTGATGTCCCGGCTTCAGCCGGCGTCGTAAATCGCAGCGCAGAGCCGGGAAAAACAAACGCTCACATTTCCACCGCGCTCTTTTCGGAACGCACAAGCCCCCCTTCCAAATTCGCCCGTTTCTTCTTGGTTTCTCTTTTTCACAAAAGACAGTTCTGTGTCCTCCAAGCAGCGAACTTGCTCTTAAGAACCTTGAAATCTCAGAGGCAGCTGCGAGGGATGGGGGACAACACGGAAACACCAGTACGGAGCTCGGGGTGGGAGGGATTGTCCTTTCTAGACTTCCCAGGATACCTACGTCAAGGAGGCTCTCCCTTGGAGAGTTGGAAGTCCCTACTCTCCTCAGGGAGTGGTGGGCTCAGGCAACCAGGCGCCTTTACAAAATGCAGAGGACTCCAGTTCACCCTGTTCCTTTCTTTTCTTCCCCTGCAGCAGTGCTGAAGGCTGAGCAGGCCGCTGTGTTCAAGTTCCCACTGGCGCCGCTCGGCTGTTCCGGGCTGGGCTCGGCGTTGCTGGCCGCGGGGCCTGGGATGCCCGGCACCGCAGGCGCGTCGCACCTGCCGCTGGAACTGCAACTCCGCGGGAAGCTGGAAGGAACTGGCTCTGGGGAACCCGGCACGAAGGCCAAGAAAGGACGCCGGAGCCGCACAGTGTTCACGGAGCTGCAGCTGATGGGCCTGGAGAAACGCTTCGAGAAGCAGAAGTACCTCTCCACCCCTGACAGGTAGTGCCGGTTGAGGCTGGGCTCAGCGGACAGGAGGCCGGCGGCGGCCTGGCTTGCTAAGGGTGTGCATTGCTCTTTCCAGAATAGATCTAGCTGAATCCCTGGGCCTGAGCCAATTGCAGGTGAAGACATGGTATCAAAATCGGAGGATGAAGTGGAAGAAAATAGTGAGTGTGGTTGGTGGCTTCCTGTGTGCCAGGGTTTCTTGGGCATCGTCCCCGGGATCCTCCAAGAACTGCCTCTCCCCCCCCCCCCCCCCCAACCACACACTAAGACTGCCCAGTCCACCCAGTGCGCTCTGCTCTTTCTGTTTGGGTTCACTATGGAGCCGATGTTCCTTCCCAGCCCATGCATCTCCTGGCAGCCTCTAACTCTTTAAAGAGACATCTTTACCAATCGCTGTCTCTTTAGGGCTTGGAGTCAGTCTCTGGTGATACCTTGGTTGAGTCCTTTGGTCCCACCTGGGCACTTGGCATGGGGTGGTCCTTGGTCTGATTCACACCTCACCCTAGTACTTACTGTTCATTCTCGGAACAGGTGCTGCAGGGTGGCGGCCTGGAGTCTCCTACCAAACCCAAGGGGCGGCCCAAGAAGAACTCCATCCCCACGAGCGAGCAGCTCACGGAGCAGGAGCGTGCCAAGGAGGCCGAGAAGCCAGCGGAATTGCCGAGCGAGCCCAGCGACCGGAATTGTGAGGACTGAGCTCAGCCCGGGATGTGCGGCACCGTCGGAGGGAACCCGGAGCTGGCCCTTCCGCATCCATGCCGTTTGCTTTTTAAACGATTCATTACTACTTTGAATGCGGACAATTAGGGGCCAAACAAGAAGGGACAGAAACCTGAAAGCCAGACCCAGGTCTCAGCGAACTCCTGTCTCTTGCTCCCAGTCTGGGAGAATCGTGTTCAGTGCGGCCGAAGCTTCTGGTCTTTCTCGGAGTTCTGCGGTGCCCTGCGCTCCATGCGCATTCACGCCCCGCTCCTTGCCCACACTACCCCCCTAACCCCCCCCCCTCGGCCTCCAGCCGGCCTTCCGGGCCGGACACCGGCAGGCCCACACCCGCTTCCGCGCCTTGGGGACCGAGCCTCCGGGTGCAGGCCTCTACGGCCCTGTCCTGCAGTGTCGGCTCCGGAAAGACCCGGCAAATCAGCTGATGCCCGGTCCCGATGTCGCTGGAGGTTCTACCCACCTCTCGCGAAGACGGTGACTTTTTTTTCCAATAAAATATTTTATGACACAGCGGGGGACTTGATGGTGGGGCTTCCGAGTCCGTGAGGGATGGAGGGGAGGCGAGGTAAGGTGGGCAATGGAAATTACAGCATCCTCCCCTCAATGGAAACTAGCGATGCTCTCCCTGACTGGCCCAAGTACTGCAGTAACTAGGTTACTTCGGAAATGAACACTAGGTGTGAGGGGCCAGGGTGGACACTTCCTTTCCAGCTGTGTGTGTATGGGGGGGGGGGTCGCCATCAGCATTTGGCCACCAGTCCACAAGTGTCCCGGAGCTCTGAGCCATTTAAATTGTTGATTAGGTCTCCTGGGGCTTGACCTCTGTGGTCCTCGCGATGTTCCCAGCCAGCTCTTTTGAGGCGAATAGGAAGCCCCGCGTGTCTTAGGAAGCCCTATTGAGGGGCATAGCTTGGCAGGAAATGTCTACTGGTGCCATCACCAACCAAAAATGTCTCAGTTGTTTGTCCTTGGGGAGGGAGTGATCATATAACCTTCTGTTTCTGTGGTTGGGGGACATGGTGACCACTGTATGGGAATGAAGAGATGGTCATTTTGTTAGCTAAATCTCAGAAAGGTGACACAACTTACAGTTCCGGCACACTAGCCTTCAAAGCCAGGTCCTCCTGGGGTTCAAAAAATGCCATAGGTTTTGTGGTTTGGACTCATTTTTAGCTTTGGTGGTGGTTGTTTTAAAGCAGGATCTCACACTGTACCCTCACAATCCTGAAACTTGCTACGTGGCCTAAACTGGCCTTGAACTCATGGAGACTCACCTGCTTTGTCTCCCAAATGCAGGGATTGAAAACGTTCATACCATGCATGGCAAGTTTAAGAATATGACAGACTCCTGTGTTGGTGACCGTCCTCTATTTTTAAAATTTTGTATTTTCACGTATTTGTGTGTCTCTCTGTGTGTAGTTGGGGATGTTGTATGTGTACCTGAGCACAGTTGCAGGTCAAGGACAGTCAGATCAGAGGTGTCAGATTCTCTTAGAACTGGAGTTAGAGGCAGTTGTGAAGCCAAGGGATCCAGAACCAGGATCTTCTGCAAGAATAGTATTCACGATCTTAGCTGCTGGGCTGCTTCTCCAGCTCCAGACTTTTCCTTTCCGACTAGGTGGTCCCTTCCTAGTACCCAGTTTGAACTTCTCCCTGGAATTTCCAGCCTCAGGGTATGGAAAAACTAGAGCCCACATTTTATGAGGACTTTGTGAACGATTTTCTTCGGCACCCGTGTCCTGCTCGGTCTTTGGGAGATTGTCTTCTCTGGCTCGGGGTCCTAATTCAGCCTCACCAGCAGCTGTGAAAGAAGAAAGGAGGAAAACTGCAACCCTGGCAGCCTGGAAGAACACATCGTGTGTGTGTGTGTGTGTGTGTGTGTGTGTGTGTGTGTGTGTGTGTGAGCGAGAGAGAGAGAGAGAGAGAGCGCGAGAGAGAGAGAGAGAGAGAGACTGTGTCCCTCTAATTCCTTTTGGCTTTGGAGTTAGCCCCCAGGTCAACTCAGCCTAGCAGTGCTATTACTAAATACCCTTGTAGCAGGCCCTCATAGTCATTTAGACTAATCCTTACAGTTCAAAGGAAAGATCTGAATTCGGTGGCCAAAAGGCCTGGGGGACAAGGTTCCAGCTTTTTCTCCATCAATTCTGTCAAATTGCGAAAAGGTGGAACCCATTGGGGTGCCTGCAGAGGGTTACAGGGGGATCTAACTCAACAGGTTATGGTTCCGGTAGGGTCAACTCGGTATGCTAAATTTGAAGAGCCTAATCTTATGCAAATTACTTGCTAATTGTAACTAAGGCTTTCTCAGGGCAGTCCCTTACTGACACCCCAGCTGAGTCAGAGCGCCGGCAAAGCAATGTTACCAGACACAAGGCTCAAGGGCCAGCAAATTTCAAAGTACGACGTCCTCCAAGCACAGATGGAGAGGCAACTCCAGTTCTCCAGTTAGCAGTGGGACACTGGAGGTAAGCAGGGTCTCTAAGGGCAGTTCTTTATCCCGGTGCAGAAGGAGGTGGTTTTGTCGCTGTCTGCGCGGCGGAGCTCCGGGCATAGATCAGGATCAGGTAATGCGAACACAAACAGAGCCACCCAGCCAGGAAAAAGAGAACGGAAAGTCTTTCCTTTCGCGAGCAGATCCCGAGTTTTCTTGCTTAGGGGAGGGGGGGGGGGGAGTACCTGGGACTCGAGGGAATTTCCAGGCAGGTGGCTCCAGAGGAGCGAAGTCCCAAATGTTCTAAGAAGTCGGGGTTCGCGGTAAAGGGCTCCATTTAACTACCCGAACCTTAAGACACGGACTTGTGTGCCACTCGCCTGGGCCCTCAGCGCTGAGGCCCCCTCCCTGCCTCCATCGACCACGCCCCTCCCTCCGGGCGGGCGATTTGGGGGAAGGGAAGGTCCCCTCTCATTTCTCCTGGAACCTTGCCACACAAGTCTCTTTTCGGCCCCCAAGGTCCTGGGAAACAAACCTCGGAGACGTCGCGGGCGGCCGTGGCCCGGGTGGTGTTTTGCGGAGACTCCAGTCGGAGGCTGCAGGAGGGAGCGGACTCTGATGTCCTTGTTTAGCCCAGACCTAGGGCGGGGAGGACCTGAGGGACATGGGGAAAGGAAGGGCAGACCGCTTGGCGGAGGCTGGGAACCCGGGGCCGCTGCACTAGCGGCTCTTTCGGTCTGCGCTGTCCACACCAGTTCCGTGGCTCGGCAGTGAGCGAACTCCCAGGCAAGGTAGTGGTAGAGGTCCGCAGTGAGTGGGGTGTGTTTCTCTGGGCCCTAAGCTCTGAGCCGGGCTCCCTGCTAGGAGAGCTGTCTTTGGGGCTGCTCACTGAGGACCTGGATTCCCACCTGGGCCTTGGAGCCTCTGCCCTGCGTCTGGCCTCACGCACAGCCCCGGTAACCGCCAGCATGGTCTCTGTCGCTAGTCCATTCCACGCCAGCTCCCCACTTTTCCAAAACAAATAATAAAGGTCGCTGTCTTCCAATCTGTGCTCTTGATCTCTTGAAGGGTCGTCGGTGGGTACTTACAAAGCGGAAGAAAGAACGGCAAGGCCGAGGTCTGTTTAATTACGACCCAGTTTAAGGTCACCTGAAACTGGAGGGCACCACTTGGGAAACCAAGGACCAGGACCGTTCCAGTTGCCGGTGGCCGAAAGGCTGGTCTCAGTTTGTTATATCCTAGCAATTCCAGCGAAATTCCCAGAAGAAATCAGACTCTTAGCTTACTCTTTTATCAGAGTCCCGCGGCCTGGTTTCGTTTCGCGCACTTATTTTGTTTCTACATGATGGGAAATCCTGACCCAGCGACAACATGGTGAAGAATCTTAAGAGACAAACCTGCTCCTAAAACTTGTCCAGGCCAGGAGTTCCTGGGAAGCCAGCTAGTTGGAATCTCAGATCTGCCTGATCTCCAGGAATCAAGTGAGGGAGGGCACTCACTGTAGGGCACCACCACCGACTGCTTGCCTAGCGTGCTGGCCTCTGGGCATCGGACACTCCTAACTCCCTGGGGGTAGATGGGCCAGTGCTGGCACTTGACCTAGTAAGAGGCTCTTGAGGACAAGGCTTCCCTCTTGGGTACTTCCTTCTTCTGAAAGGGGATCCACATGCTCCCAGTGCCCCCACAACAACCTTTGTATTCTTGCAACAGGTGGGCCTTCTCTTGGGAAGTCAGAATTGGTTGTGGTGTCTCTTGACTAAGAGGTACCATCCAGGACCAGGACCGTGTGGAGCAGATTTGAGGGAGCTAAGATTGCCTTAGCCAAGAAGAAGAAGCTGAACTAGTAGGGGAAAAGGCCAAGGGCACCAGAAGAGACCCAAGGGAACATTTTAGCTGATTAGTCTCTCTCTCCACCTCTTTTAAGTTTTTAGCCTTTCCCTCTTCTTTTTGTGGTGCTACGAATCAAGTGCTGGATGCTGGACACTTGTTCTCCCACTGAGTGACATTCCCAGGCTCCTCTGTTACTTTCCAAATGTTTTATAATAAAAAAAATCCATGTCCTAATAATGCTGCAAGAGGTCTTTGGGTAAGCAGAAAACAAAATTCCCAGGTGGTGGGGAAAGGTGGCTGCAGCTTCATTGGCAAGGTTGAGAGTGTTTTGCCCCTTAGTACTTCAGGAAGCGATTGTGTGACTGACAGGGCGGCACCTTGAGTCCTCTAATACTAACCAGGCTCCTACATGATCAGCCCTCCCTCCTTTCCTTCTTTCAAAAGATTTGTGTATGTATGCATGTATGTGTGTACATACAAGCAAGTGTGCACGCATGTATCTGTTCATGTGTGTGAAGGCCAAAGGTCAACCTCGGGTGTCATTATTCAGGAACTATTCTTGGGTTTTGAGACAGGGTCTCTCACTAAAGTCTGGGGTTTACTAATTAAACTAGACCTTCTGGCCCATGAGTCTCGGGGACCCTTTTGTCCCATCTACCCAGCACTGGGATTACAAGCCGTGCACCACCAGGTTTTTGTTCAAGAGTGCTTGGGATTATAATCGGGTCCTCATGTTTAAGGGAAAGGTGGTGTCCTGACTGAGCTGCTCCATTCTCTTCTTTTTAAATAAACATTCACCCAGGAAGTGGTGGTGCACACCTTTAATCCCAGAGGCAGACAGAGCTTGGTGAGTTTAAGGTCAGCCTGATCTACAGAGTGAGTTCCAGGATACCCAGGGCTGCTACACAGAGAAACCCTGTCTGAAAACAAAACAAAAGCAAACCAACAGCCCCCAAGCATCTGCTGAAATGAAGCAGGTAGTTCCCAGGGCTGGGGGCAGA